GAGGAGGAGGAGGAGGAGGAGGAGGAAGAGGAGAGAAAGCAGCCAGGTCCAGAGATAGACCCCAAAGCTTGAGTATTAATTAAACTGAAAATTCTGGGCCCTAGGGTAAATGTTCCTGGAAAACAAGGTCTAATTGGAGTGCCCTTCCCTCTGCTTTCTCTGCGGCAGATTCTTCAGTGACTCTGTCTTTAGGGACAAGCAGCCTACGGAGCCCAGAGGGGACAATGGAGTGACTATCAGGTGTGAAGTTTGGGCAAACTTGGCTTTGTCCTGGAATTTCTATGATTCAGAACTCATCCACTCCTTGTGCAAAAGAGGCATCATATGCTCTCTTGGGATAGTTAATATTGATTATCAATTTGACAGGATCTATACTCACTTAGGAGACAAGCCTTTGAGCATGTCTGTGAGGGATTAGCTAGATGAAGTAAGCTGAAGTGGAGGGCCCACCCTAAACGTGGGAGGCACGATTTCACGGGCAAGAGACCTGGACTGAATGAAAAGGGGAAGCCAGACTGAGAACCGGCATTCATCTCTCTGCCTCCCGACTGCATATGCAGTGTGACCAGGGACCCCCGGCTCCTGCCCCCATGACCTCCCCTCCTGACAGACTGTCTCCTGCAACTACAAGCTGAAGTCAACCCCTTCTTTCCGACGCTACTTAGTCAGGCATTTGGTCACAGCAATAATGACAGTGACTCCCACTCACTACCGTGTTGGAGCTGGCTCTTAGGGCCTCTCAAACTAGGTGGCACTTGCTTTTTAGCCATTCTGCCACTTCTGTGACACTCAAGGGAGATGGATCTCGGCATCAACCACACCACAGACTTACCAGAGCTCTGCATAGCTCTGAGATACCACTGCTCTTTGGGCATCATTTAACTATGAGTAATACTCAGTATGTCCCCTTTTTATTCCCAGGAGTACACAAGACAGCAAGCTTTTAAATAATAATGGGTGTTACTTATTACTTAAGCAACACGTGCAGCAAGTCAGAAAGGAGGCAGCATGGCATAGTGGTGAGGGGCTAGACAGACTAGGGTTTGAGTCCCAACCACACCAGGTATTAGGTCCATAGCTCTGGAAAACTCTGGCTGTTAATGGTAAGTTTGTACTGTGGGGGTCAGCTGATTCCTGCTTGATTCATCCTCACCTGATGGTCCAAGGCCCAAGGCCAACCTAAAACATCTGCATCAGCATAGACAGGTTGATGCACATTTTAAAAGCAAAGCCTTGCTCATCAGTGATCAGCATTTGCTGGGCAGCTATCCCAAGAGAAGGTCCATGTTATGCTGGTCCAGGTCAGAAAACTTCAAGTCAAAGATGCTTCCTGAACCATTACTTATTCTTTAATGGTCAGCTGGCATCATGAATTAGGAATTAAGTAGCAATATGATACATGGAGGAAATGGGTGCCAAAGAACAAGAAGCCAGGAAGAGGTTCATTTTCAGTCCTGGGGATAGGATTAGTTCAGGAATAAGTCAGGCAGGATCCTAGGCCTTGCCCTCAACCAGCAAGGTGTGTAGCACAGGCAAGTGTGCCCAGGCCTCCTAGTGGAAATGGGACTTTACACAGTTTTAGAAGAACAGGCCAGGGCACAGGTGTAAGTACTGTGTGTTGTGATCCGACCAGCCATACACACGGACACTTACCTACCCATAGCCACCTAGAACCAGATGTTGGAGTAGGACATTGGGTCCACATGGTGTCAGGAGTTCACGGAGCACATGGCCACTGCCTTCCTGGTGAAGAACGGGGGTAAGTGGAGGATGCATGGGATTCTTTACTGTAGCGTGGAAAGGGATGAGGGGACAGGAAGGGAAAGGGGGGAAGAGGATTTTGAATGATTCAGAGATGAACATTTGATTTGGTATCCATGTGGGGCTCGGCAGAGCTCAGGCATTATGATGAAGATGTCCCCTCTATGCACTGGACTGAGTGTAGCCCTGGGGAAGAGAGAAGGCTTGGGGTGCACATCTGCATTTGAAGAGAGGCAAGCAGAGGAGTTGAGTTTGAGAACCTGTCACAACTATGGCCATTTCCCCAGCCTGTCAGCCATAGTAAAAAAAAAAAAAAAAATCCTGTGTGTTAGTGATCCCCAGCTTTTGACAACATTACAGAGGCTGAAAGTTCGTATCTTCTGATTAAACACCGTGCTAGGTAATGACCATTTGCTTCTCATCCCTCTTCATCCCCTTCAAATTACCAAGTGTTGTCCGACATCGGAGCCCTATTTGCCCCTATTAAATTAACAAGCCTACAAAACCCTTAATGAACTGAAACTCATCAAACGGTTGGAAATGGTAGCAGCCTTCAAGCTCTTTTCTTTTTCATGCATCTCTGTGTGAAGTAATTTACTTTCCCATATACTCCATTATGTTTACATGGCTGCATTTCAGGAATACCTGGTCTACCTGAAACTGCAGGGAGTCAGCGGCTCACCGAGGAGCAAGACCTGGAGGACTCCGGCAGCTTCTTGAGCCAACAGCAAGCTGTTCTGCTGGAGCATTAACTTTTGGGTTGCACCAAGTATTTTCCCTGGCCCTCCAAGGATGCCTTGGGAATTTTGATGTATTTGAAAGGGTAGGCTTAGGGTGCATTCTGTGCTTACACACCTTCCTTCCTTCCAGCTACCTAACTGGGCTTCCGGGCAACTGAACTTGTGCATGTACCATGCTACCGTTAGGCAGTGGTGTGTTTATGGGATGGGTAAATTGAAGTGTGATCTTTTTGGAGATGTTCTCCCTTTCCAGTACCATCTTCAGCTACAGGCAAAGGTTCCTCGGATGTTCTCATGGAGACTCTCAGCTTTGTAGCAGGTCTAATGATAAGTCCTGAAACCCTGACTACTAGTGCTCGGGGTCCAGAGGATAACATCTGCCAAAGTTGAGAGCATCTAGGAGCAAATGTCACACTGGATTTTTCCCACGAGTTTAAAAAAACAAAAAACAAAACAGTGAGATTGGCTTGGGAGCTAGTTAAGTCCATAAAGTGCTTGCCCCACAAGCTTGAGAATCTGAGTTTGAGACCCAGAACCCATGTGAAAAAAAAAAAAAAAGCCAGGCCTGGTGGCAAGAGCTTGTACTCTCAGTACTGGGAAGACAGAGACAGGTGGATCCCTAAAGCCAGTTAGCCAGATAGCTTAACCCATTTGGTGAGTCCCAGACAGCGAGGACTGTCTCAAACAAAAAGGTGCACTAACCTGAGGAATGACACTTGGGGATGTCTCCTGGAATGAGTGTTTACACACATGTATAGTTAGACAATGGGGCAACCCTGAGCAAATTTCCAACACCAGTTCATCATGGGAAGTGGAGTCACAAATTGCATGTTTATGACCAGGTGTGTTGATGGGAGGAGCCTGATGAAGGGAAAGAGGTAGTGGGCACAGTCCAGGGGAATATCATCCTCTTTGGCCACCAATCACTCCCAAGTTTCAGACAACTTGTTTGTGCATGTGAGTGGGGAGGGTGGAGTGTGTGCCCATCTCACAGCCCTGCCCGTGCCTGAACCACAACACCTGCCTCCAGAATGGACATATGCACATGCCCCAGTATTCCTGGGAGAGGTTTTCCAGGGTGATGACATGCTGTGAGACAATTTGGTGAAACAGGAGACCATCTTGTCACCCCAGAAAGCATCACACCTTCAGATGCATTTAATATGCTATATTTGTTATGTTGTTTAATACAGGAATCTTAGAGCTCAAGTCTTTGCAATGGGGGGAAATGGCACTTTAAATGCACAGTTTGTTCCTTGTATCAGTGGGTTCTACATCCAACCACTTTGGCCCAAAATATTAAATAAACTGTATCTTTACTGAACTTGTATAGAATTTCTCTTGCATTTCTATGGTATTAAATCTCAAGCCTTGTAGAAATGATTTAAACTATTCAGGGATAACTGTACAAATGATATGAAAATACCACCCTATTTTATAGAGGGGATTTGAGCACCTACAGATTTTGGTATCCACTGGCAGCTCAGGAACCAATCAGACAGGGATACTGGAGAGAGACTGCTATACAAGGAAAACAAATACACACAGTGGAACAAATTACACCTTAACTCCAAGGAACCTGCTGCCGACGCTCATTATGATCAGGCAAAGGGAAAACTTTGGAGTCTCTGCCCTGATCCGAAAGCTACAATCTGGCTTCCTTTCTCTCACTTCCTAATAAGACCACCTAAGCCTTCAACAGTTAACACTACACGACGCTAAAGCATACACTACCACCCACAACAAGGAACCCAGCCAGGCAGTGGGGACTCAGGACCACTATTGATTGGCTTGCTTGATTAGTTGGTTAATTGAATATCACTGCTTTCTAGTATAATTAAAACAAGATAAATACTGGGGCTTCATTCTGTAAGCAAGTGCCATTAGTGCTCATGTGCACACCCTGATTAAAAATGCGATCGACTCCATGGGGAGGATAATTTATGAACTCACCAGCCTCTAGTGCCACTCTATGGTTTGCAGACTTGAGCTATGACCTGACTGGCATGGGACTCCCTGACTTGCTGTGAATGCTCTGTTCTCTCAGGAAAGAATTTTATTACACCAGGAAACAGACCGGGTGGTTCCTCTTTTCAAGTGAACCTACCTGTGCATGGCCCTAGTTCACTTACAAAGTATCAGAGAGGGAAATGGACTGTAGCAGAAAACCACTCATAGCTTCCTCCTTTGCCCCACCTCTCTGGATCTGAATCTGAAACTGTTTGTATCATGAATTCTTTATCATGAATCTGAAACTACGTTTGTATCATGGACCTGATCATGAAATAGTTAGAAGTATTACTTAAACTAAGCCCAAATGTGGATATTGGGAAAAGTGAGAAACTTATTTACTTAGGGGCTAAGAGGCTCACCCTACAGCAGTGGTTCTCAACTTTCCTAATGCTGTGACCCTTTGATACAGTTCCCTATGTTGTGATGACCCCCAACCATAAAATTATATTTTTGTTGCTATTTCATAACTGTAATTTCAATATTTTGAATTGTAATGTAAATATCTATGTTCCTGATGGTCTTAGGCAACTCCTGTGAAAGGGTCATTGACCCACCAAAGGGTTGCAACCCTCAAGTTGAGAACCACTGCTCTGTAGGCTGTGGAGACAGCTAACTATCACATGCTTTTGCTCATATGCACAGTGCAGGAGCTTGTTGGGTATGACATACCCACTGAGCATCTCAGCTGCTTCCTCTAGGAGGAATAAGGCTGCCAGAACCCCTGGAAGATAGGTTCCAGCCCTCTTTTCTCTTATCACTTGCTACACCCCCAGTGAATTAAGGCATGTTCCTGGCATGTCATCTGCAGGTTTCTGTATGTGAATGGAATATACAGGAGACACAGGAATACACTGCTCCAGTTGTAAGCCCCTCTTATTAGAATTTCAGTTGTCCCTGTCAGTAACAAAGGATAGTAACCCCTCTTTTAGGGCCACTAGAATGTAACTGAGAAAGTAATTGGAGTCTCTCCAAGGAAAGTGCTATGTAAATCTGAGGTATTATTATTCTGTTAGCCCATGCTCTTTATTTTTGGAATGTGTCCAGATGTTCTGACTGGTAAGCAAACATTATAGATTAGAAGGGAATTAAACAATTCAGCTCACGAGTCCTAAAGCAGAATGGATTACCACATCTGCTAGGCTTCATGAGTTGGTAGGAATTTTTCTTTATCAGTGTTGGGAATTGAACATAAGGCCTTGTGCATGCTAGGCAAACATACTACCAATGAGATATACCTCCAATGCATATTCTCTCTCTCTCTCTCTCTCTCTCTCTCTCTCTCTCTCTCTCTCTCTCTCTTTTGTGTGTGTGTGTGTGTGTGTGTGTGTGTGTGTGTGTGTGTGTGTGTGTGTCTATGTGGCTGTGCAAGTGTGCGTATGTGCATTTATGTGGAGGCCAAGGGTCAACCTTGGGTGCTATTTCTCAGGCACTATCCACCTTGCTTTTTGAGATAGGGTCTCTTACTAGGACCCAGGGCTTACTGACTTGGCTAGGCTGGCTGGCCAGGAAGCACCAGGGATAACTATCTGTCTCTACTTCTTCAGCACTAGACTTACAAGCACATACCACCCCACTGTGCCAAGTTATTTTTAATTAAAATAGATTTTTTCCACAATATATTCTGATCACATTTCCCCTCCCCAGATCCTCCCCCAACTCCCCACCCATTCAAATCCACACTTTCTTTCTCTCATTAGAACACAAACAGGAATCTAAAAACAATAAGTAAGATAAAATAAAAGCAAACAAGAGTAGGATCTACCAGGAGAAAAAGACCCCAAAGAAAAGGCTCAAGAGACACAGGGACATAGACACATTTACACACAGAAATCCCATAAAAACACAACACTGGAAACCATAATATATAGGTAAAAAGACCTATGAGGAAAAAAAAAGAAAGAAAGGAGAAAAAGAAGAAAGAAAATGCCCAAAGTGTTATGACAAGGAACCTCCAAAAATGCCATTGAGTTCATTTTCATGTTTGAGTTCTGGGAATTGAACTCATTCCTCAAGCTTATACGACAAGCATTTTACTGGTTGAGTGAACTATCAAGGCCTTGGGTGTGGTTTTGATGATGAGTTGGGTAAGTATGTAAAGGGCAGTATGATATAAAAGCACAAACATTGTCTTACTATAGAAATAACAAAAAGTTGGCATAATGCCAAGACTCTGAAATGCTCTTTTCTTTTTGCTAAGAATGGTCACTTTCTTTCTGCCAATGATTGACTTTCCCCAAACATGTCCTTCTGGGGAGTTAGTTTTCTCCGAGAGTGTGGCTTCATCCTCTTGTCCTTTTCCCTAAGAGGCTGTGAGGTATGGGTGAGTAGGAACACACTGCTGGGATGTCTGATATTTTATCATCAGCGAGAATGGAACAAGGCAAATAGAGAGGCCTGCAGAGGGTAGCGGGAGCTGTTCTCAGCATGTTATGGGAAGCCAGTGCTGAGACCCCACTTATAATGGGAAATCATGAAGAAACGTGCTTGAGGGGCTGACAGGCGTAATCGAGAACACCAGCATGCTCAGAATCCATTCTGTTCACTCACAGGTTTTTAAGGGCCGAACCCATCTTCCTAAATGCTTGTTTGGCAAGAAACCCTATGTATAAAGAGATATGTATATATAGAAAAGCAAGGGCATACCCCTACCTACAGTTTTTTTTTAATTTTACCATAAAATAAATACTTATTAATTTTCATACCACATACTGAGGGAGCTGTCACACATGAGTTTCTTTCATGTGTAATTGGTGTGCCCATGACTCCTTAAGTTACATGTAGCATGGAGATGGCTTCCAAATAGAGCCTGGAGAGAGGGACAGATTCAGAGATGAGAGCCAAAGATGGCTAGAAATTACAGACTGATGGAGGTCAGCAAGAGACTAGTTATTCAATCTATCTCCTGGGGGTTAGAGCCAGACTTTCTCCAGTGGTTCCAAAATTACTTGGCAGTTTCATTAGGGTGAAAGGCAGTGCAGACTCATAAACACAGAGTACAGGTTGTCGCTTAAAATTTAGTTGGACGTGTCAACCAAACACATACAGAGAGAACGGCACTTAACAGTCTGCTCATCAAGGACATTCCTCCAATTTGTGGGCCAGAGGAATGGGAATAAGAAGGGGATTTAATTGCTGTATTTGACACTATGTTTACATTTACACCCCAATAAAAATTCCACCAATCAGTACTTCTAGAAAAACTGATACACCACAGTGGATCATGTATAGGGCAGGGGAGCTGTCCTCAAGTTCTGGTGCTGATATTCAGCATCACAGGTTTTTAGCATTTGAAATACCTCTACACTCTGAACTAGCATGTGTTCTCAGTTCTAACAAGAGTTTTAGCTTGGTCACATATGGACAATGTAGAATTAAATGAGTATTTATCCAACCATTAGAGAATCAAGGAAAAATTCTGCTAATAGTCTCAATGTGATATATAGAGGTGAATAGCAGTGGTCACTTATACTCAGGTCTTCTATCTTGGGTATAGAAACAGACTTTTCCATTATCCTGAATAGGCACGAAGCCATATTCCTGGCCAGTGGGATGTGGGAAATTACACATAATCTCTATGTGTAACTGTTGTAACAAACTATTTAAGTAATGTGTAAATATGTAGCTTTCTCTTTCCCCAGAAGCAATAACAAGACAGACCATGTCTGAGAGACAGAAGTACAGAGGGAATCAATTATCTTGGATCCCAAAAGATCTCACCTGAAAGGTCCATCCACACAGGACTTCCAGAACTACAGGAAAGTTGGAATGAAATAGAAATAAAACATTCTGTTTTAAGTCCATAAAAGTTTCAAGCATCACTTATGCTCTTGCCCCATCTTAACTGATATTCTAAATTAATCCTTTTGTCTATAGATCAAGTCTATCACAATAAAACCTCATCCTGATGATAATAAAATTATATATATATATATATATATATATATATATATATATATATATATATATATATGTGTGTGTGTGTGTGTGTGTGTGTGTGTGTGTGTGACTGGTCATATGGAGGGAAAAAGAGGACATACAGGTGTCCTTCCCCCAGTGGTGGTGACTTCTTCACTAGTTTATTTACAGATGCTATGAAAGAACTATTTTCAGAGGCTTGGATGCTTATTTGGAATAAAATTCCATTTTTCAGTCTTCTTAAAAGGGTTCAAGGGATCAGTATTGGATTTCTTATGATCAGAGTTCTATGCAGGAAGAATCCAGGTTAAGGTTAACATCATAGCCACAAGATGATGGACATGAGCATCAAGCCAAGGTCAAAGAGTATGAGAGCTGAACAGACATCAGAAGGTTGGTCAAGCCCACAGGTTATCTTTTTAAGAAATTGTTTCATTAGAAAATCCAGATTGCAGAGCTCTAGGGAAGAAAAGGTAGAAAAATTGAAAGTAGACATCTAAACCAGAGATTCAAATTTATTTGGTGGTAAAGAAAAGAAACAAGGTAGAGAGAAAAGACCAAAGTTGAATGTGATTGAAGATAGAGATTAGATCATCTGATGACAGGAAGTATGAGGTTAGAAGTTACTGGGCATGGCAGACACTCCTATAATCCCAGCACTTGAAGGCTGAAGCAAGAGGATCTTGAGCTCAAGGCCAGCCTGAGCCACATATGAGACACTGTTTAAGAGATATGGACAAGTGTAACATGGTATCTCAGAGTCATTTTGATTTGCATTTCCCTGATGACTAAAGACATCCTTAGTCATCGGGGAAATGCAAATCAAAATTCCTTAAATGTCTTTCCACCATTTGAGATTCTTCCATTGAGAATTCTCTATTTAGCTCTGTAGCCCATTTTTTAAATTAGATTATTTGGTATTTTGATGTCTAGTTTCTTGAGTTCTTTATATATTTTGGAGATCAGTCCTCTGTCAGATGTGGGGTTGGTGAAAATCTTTTCTCATTTTGTAGGCTGTTGTTTTGTCTTATTTACTTTTCAGTTTCAGGAGGTACCATTTATTAATTGTTGCTCTAAGTGTCTGTGCTACTGGTGTTATATTTAGGAAGTGGTCTCCTGTGCCAATGCATTTGAGACTGCTTCCTGCTTTCTCTTCTATCAGGTTCAGTGTAGCTGGTTTTATGTTGAGGTCTTTGATACACTTGGACTTGATTTTTGTGCATAGCAATAGATATGGATCTATTTGCAATCTTCTACATGTTGATATCCAGTTATGCCAGCACCATTTGTTGAAGATGCTTTCATTTTTCCATTGTACAGTTTTGACTTCTTTGTCAAAAATCAGGTATTTATAGGTGTGTGGGTTAATGTCAGGGTTTTCAATTTGATTCCACATGTCAGTTGTTATGCCAATACCAAGCTGTTTTTATTACTATAGCTTTATAGTAGAGCTTGATGTCAGGGATGGTGATGCCTTCAGAGATGGTTTTGATGTACAGGATTCTTTTAGCTATCCTGGGTTTTCTGTTTTTCCAAATGAAGTTGAGTATTGTTCTCTCCAGGTCTGTGAAGAATTGTGTTGGGATTTTGATGGGGATTGCATTGAATCTGTAGATTGCTTTTGGTAAGGTTGCTATTTTTATTATGTTGATTCTACTTATCCATGATCATGGGAAATCTTACCATTTTCTGATAATCTTTTCCAATTTCTTTCTTCAGAGACTTTAAGTTCTTGTCATACAAGTCTTTTGCTTGCTTAATTAGAGTTAGCCCAAGGTATTTTATACTATTTGTAGCTATTGTAAAGGGTGATGTTTCTCTGATTTCTTTCTCAGCCCATTTATTATTTATATAGGAGGGCTACTGATTTTTTGAGTTAATCTTGTATCCTGCCACATTACTGGAGGCATTTATCAGCTGTACGAATTCCCTGATAGAATTTTGGGGGTCATTTATATATACTATCATATCATCTGCAAATAGTGAAAGGTTGACTTCTTCCTTTCCAATTGTATCCCCTTGATCTCCTTTTGTTGTCTTATTGCTATAGCTAGAACTTAAAATACTATATTGAATGGCTAAGATCAAAAATACTGAAGACAGCTTATGTTGGAGAAGATGTGGAGTAAGTGGAACACTCCTCCACTGTTGGTGGGAGTGCAAACTTGTACAGCCACTTTGGAAAACAGTGTGGTGGTTTCTCAGAAAATTGGGGATCAATCTTCCTCAAGACCCAGCTATACCACTCATGGACATATACCCAAGGAATGCTCGATCATACCACAGGGACACGTGCTCAACTATGTTCATAGCAGCATTATTCGTAATAGCCAGAATGTGGAAACAACCTAGATGCCCCTCAACTGAAGAATGGACTAAGAAAATGTGATACATATACATGATGGAGTACTATTCAGCAGATAAAAACAATGACATCATAAAATTTACAGGCAAATGGATGGAACTAGAAAATATCATCCTGGCTGAGGTAGCCTAGATTCAGAAGGACAAATATGGTATGTACCCACTCATAAGTGGATACTAGATGTAAAGCGATGGATAACCAGACAACAACCCACAACTCCAGAGAAGCTAGCTAACAAGGAAGACCCAAAGAGGGATGCATGGATTACCATGGAAAGGGGAAATAGATGAGATATCCATGAATAAACTGGTGATGAGGGGTGAGCAATGGAGGGTATGGGATAGGGGATGAGAACATAAGGGAATGGGATGGTTGAGCTGGAACAGGGATGGATAGAGGGAGATATCATGGGGATATGGAGAAACTGGGTGCTAGGAAAGTTTCCAGGAGTCCCCAAGGATGACCCCAGCCTAGACTACTAGAAATAGTGGAGGGGTGCCTGAACTGAACTGGCTTACCCCAGTGATCAGACCAGTAAATACCCTAACTGTTATCACAGAGCTTTCCTCCAATCACTGGTGGAAGTAGATACAGAGATCCACAGCCAAACACAAGGCAGAGCTCCAGGAGTCCAGTCAAAGAGAGAGAAGAAGGATTTTATGAGCAAGTGCATCAGGATCATGATGGGGAAACCTGCAGAGATGACCAAACCAAACTAGTGGGGACTCATGAAAGTTGGATCAATGACTGTGGAGCCTGCATGGGACTGGACTAGGCCCTCTGCCTAAACAATTGTGTAGCTTGATCTGCTTGGGGAGGGGGGCTGGTCATAGGACCAGAATCCATCCCTGGTACATGAGCGGGGCTTTTTGGAGCCTTATGATGGGATACCAGGTGCAGCCTTGAGGCAGGAGGAAGGGCTTGGACTTGCCTCTACTGGATGTGTCTCCCCATGGGAGGCTTTGCCTTTTTGGTGGGGGAGCAGGGGGTGGGTTGGGAGGGGGTGACGTGGGGGGGACAGGAGGAGGAAAGAGGGTGGGGTCTTTGGTATGTAAAATGAATGAAAAAATTTTTCTTAATTAAAACCAACAAAGAAGAGATACAGACAAGAAGTTTCTGTTGCATTTGAAGGGAGTGGAACTTAGAACACAGACAGAAGATACTTACCATAAAGTGGGGGTCACATAAAAGGTAGTCTTCATTTCTTATTGAGTCATTGGCATCACCATACAACCACTTTACAATGATCAAGAGATGTAGGAGTCATCCCAAGCAGTCATCACACTGCATCTCTTCTGACCCCTGACATTCCACCATCCCCATGGCTATGCAACCTCCCAAGTATCCCTTAATGCTACATTGCTATGACTCTATTCCTACAGCCTTTGGAGTAGGGCCCTTAATTCTGATGCAACTGTCATAATCACAGCTTTATTCCTTACCACCCGTGTGACTACAGGCAAATTATAAATCTCCCAATTTCTTATCTACAAAATGGAAATAAAAACTACTTTTAGCACTGTCTGCAAAGTTAAATAAGTACCCAGCACAGAAATAATAAAAATTTCTTAAACTCCATAGCCTTGGAATTTTGGGCCACTATGTCATGATGAATGCTTATTAAGTGTGAGGTATTGATGTAGGCAAGGAAGGTATAGAAACAAATCAAACTCAGTCCATCCTTCAAAGAGCTCATGATGATTAACTGTCATTATGAAAACACACAAATGATAACACAATGAGTTGAGCATGACAGCAGCAGTCAAGGAAGCCTTATGGTCCATGGGATCAAGTCCAGGGTTCTTGTTAGCTTGGAACTTAAGACACTGCCTGTTGTCAATCTTGTCTGACTCTCCATCCTTTACCATTTCTCATCTTAGTGGATATTCCCGCAAAAAAAAAAAAAAAAACCACAACTAAACAAACAAACAAACAAACAAAAAACACACATACACAACAACAACAAAAACCTTATAGCTTTCCTTAAGACTTGACAATATTTCAAATTATTCCTTGACTTTATAATTTTGCTCTCACTACCCAGAATGTTTCTATTTCTCTCTGGTTTCCTAAGTTAACTGCTGTTCATCATTATAACTCAGCTCACATGTGATCATCATCAGACTCTTTGTTGGCATTATCATATGCTCACTACTTTTGTCATACTTATCACAATGTTATCATTTGTGTGTTTGCATGGGACAGTCAACCCTCATGAACTCGTTGAAGGATGGACTGAGTTTGCCTTGTTTCTGTGCCTTCTTTGCCTACACCAGTATCTCGTACTTGATGAGCAGTCGTCAGTGGTGAATGGTAATGGAGTGAATGTCTGCATAGAACAACCACAAAGCAATCAGTCAGTGTAGAAGGTGTAAGACCAACCCTACCTCATCTATATCTTCATGGAGCATATAATATCTGCTCTAATGATCTCTTACTTTCAGAATCATTGAAAGGGAAGGTATCA